GAGTGAACTCGAGGAATGGGGCAGTCAGTCGACAAGTGTGGGCGTGTAATTTATAAAGTGTTTGCTAGGGGAAAACATTTCGGGGGAGTATGTTTATGTATAAATTTGGGAGTGTGGAAAGGAGAAAGATCTGCGATAAGGATGAGAAGAGTAATTGGTTGGGCCATCAAGTTGATAGGGGAGGCATATGTGTGATATGGATGGCGAGGTGTGGAACACCAAGGGGGCGGTACTGGCTGAAGGCTGCTTAAAGGTCTCTTGGGGTTACTCAAGCGGTTATAAGATGATCTTGGGGATTTCGAATTTGCTTAGCTGGGCTTACGAAATGTCAGTTTGAGACTCTATTTATCTCTGGAATAATTAACGATACTGATTAATGTGGGCTTCAGTTGAATATAAGAGATATTCTGATAATGACAGGTAGTTTTACTACATTACATACAAGATACTTAGCATTCTTTCATTTCACCTTTAAATTGGTTTCATCCAATATTATTCTAACTATCATACTTATCTTCCAATAAATAATAATGTAAGGCTAAGTTTACACATACCTAAATAAAAATTATATTATTTTTTAACCGTTATATAAATGCGATCTACTTAAAATACATTTTATGACATTGTTTTTATATTTAATGTTCTATCTATATCAACTGCTTAAAATCTCTAAGCCTTACCGTATAAATGGTAGGATCTAATCGTACCATGCCGCTTGCTCATAAATCCAACCTGACTGTCCGGATCTGGCAAAACGATAGTGACACACGATAGTGTCAGCCAAAATATTACCAAAATGAAAGTGTCAACCAGCCAGGTCAAAGGAGGAGTGCAATCGAGAGCAGGGGCAGCACAGTGTACCGGTGAAAAGACATAAACATTACGTTGATTTTATTTCGGCAACTACTATATTTTTTATGCCCGCTGCGAGTTGCGAGCTGAGTCAAAGGATTGTCTGTCCTTCTGCTGGCCACGCTCGAATGCCCGTTACGGAAAGTGTCATAAAAATGCCTCGAATCTAAGATGGTTTTCCACTATTTTCCACTGTTTTGCACACACGTCCTAAGCGGAGGAGATGCACAGTGAAAAATACTTACTAAACACAATTAAATGTAATTTTTAAAATAACTATCGCGTTAACAAGCTAAAAGAGCTTATCATTTCAACTTATATATTTCAGCAAGTATTTCATTCCGTTTTTAATCTACGATCAAAATAACAATAAATTTTTTGTGTAGTGTAATAATTTTCTAAAATATGGCTTTTTTAAAGACAATAATTAAAATTGTATTGTTTTTAAATGGTGTATCATTTTTTAAATCTTTTTCTTGAAGGATGGTGTCTATAACAAAGACATAAGCATATTTTATAATCCATAATAACAGCAGTGAGTTTTTCACAGTGCATAGTTTTGGGGGGTGAGGAGGTTCCAATAGGGACTCAGACATTTTTATGACATTTCCCTGACTACTGTTTATTCGCTTTCTCCACGCTGCCCGCCCCTCGTTATTTTTCTCGAGCACTTTTCCGACATTTTAAACATTTCTTTTGCCGCTGGCACTTGGCCTTTGTCAGATTTTCCCTGCGCTGTATCATGTCGTTTGTGTAATTTTTATGATTGTCAAGGATTAGATATAAATGTTTTATTATGTTGGCCCGCTACCGCAGTTGTGGACCAGAAATTGTGTTTTAATATGATTTTACGGCTTTGTGGTAATTCGGAATATTTCCAAACTTGATTGGCTCCGATGTGTCGTGTCTGAAATTCCAAATTATCCGATCCTTTCGGTCTGGTACACCCTTTTGTGGCGTATTCTCTCCAAATGGGATTTGGACTCCTCTTGAATTTTTCCAGGAAAACGACAGGCTCATCATAGTCCAGTTGTTTGATGTTCTTAGGACCGGCACGCCCCCTGCCCCCGAAAACGGCTGTCAGTTGCTACCAAGACCAATTTTCCCTCAACAAACGCGTGAAAATGCAGCCACAAAGTCGATGCCGATCCATCATAATTTCTTGGGTCGCGTGGATTTACAAGCGCTCAAATTATCGGTGGATCGTTTTGGGAAAAATATGAAAATAACGAAGAACTGTGAAATCGATCGATGGTGTTCTGAGAAGCCCAGCTAGCGATGGCGCTTGTCCTTCAATCGAGTTGCCAGAAATTAATTACATTTAAACGCCTGGCTCCCCCATAGAGATTTCCCCGTGTTTGTGCCAAAAAAAAAACCGAGAAAATGGGCCTGGAAACACACTCAATTCAAATGAATCCAAAACGCACACTCTAAACGCCAACTCATCATCATTAAAGTCAATTTTTCTCGTCTTCTGTTGTCTTGTTTTGTTGCTACTCAACAATTTCTGGCCATCGAGTTGAACAAAAGAAAATTTGCCACGTTTTTCATTGTTTTCCCAGCCAGAAAAAAACGAAAAGACAAAAAGTGAAACTGCTGTTTTTTCTCTCTCCAATTTTCAGCTGAACTGGGATATGGAATCGGACTGTAGACTGTGGATTTTGGATGGAGGGAGGTTCGAATAGGTGAAATTGCATCACGCTGTGCCTCGGTTTCTGTGGAATTGTTTGCAGGCTGGAAATTGTTGATTTTGACACCTTTCGGGCTGCTGCATTGTGTTCCCCTTTATTTCCATCTAATAAATGCATTTGTGCCCTTTGTATTCCCCGGGCTGTGTTGCATTTTTTATGGTTTTCGTTTCGTTTTGCGAACCCTGGCGGGGGGTCAACTGCCGAATTCTTGCTGGCCACTTGACTTCGGCATCGGGATATCTTTATTCGCTCATTAGCAACACAATTGTGCTGGCTGCAGGTCCTTCAGCTCCTGGGGCTCCTGCGGCGAGGAGCTCGCTTCGATGGGCGTGTGAAATTACCAAAAATAGTGGGTAAAATGCGTTTTTCGCCAACTCAATTATGATCAGTTCGTCGAAATGTTGTGGTTACACATACAAGGAATCTTGTGGCTAAAATTTATGAATTCGTTTTCATGGTATTTTACTCTTAGACTAATACTAACGACATATTCACAAAACTAAAATCTTTTGCCCTAAGGCTTTTAATTTCAAAAGCATAACATAACTGAAAATATAAAAATGATAAGTAATTATGTTGAAAAAACTGTACAATTATTTAAATAACAACCAATTGTTTAATTGTTAAATTATTAATTATAACTATTTTAAGGCGAATAAAAGAATTTCCTTTTTATGTAGTGAAAAATGTATCAATACCTATGTGTTTTTAATTTTTTTTTTTTAACTTGTTACTTTTCTTCGTATTTCTTAACGACTTTCACATAATCCCAACTTACGCTCAAAAGCAGAAAATTAGCTTCACACACGTTTTGCGCATTAGACCGCAAATCAAACCGACTCAGCAAAAAATCGTTGAACTTTCGACAACATTTCACCTTGTAATCAAAATCCATTAGTCAACATAATTACGCTTTAATGGACTCGAAAGTTGTTTATGCCACGCATGGAATCGAAACGAAAGCTATGTGTAAATATGCGTGGCTTAATTAGCGACCATAAAAATTTGATAGATTTTAATCTAACACACAAGTTGTTGTTGCGACTCCAGCTCATAAATCTTCCAAGTCCGGCGATGATCTTGAAGGCCCTAGCTGATAACAGAGTGTTAAAATAGCACTACCAAAATTGTATTTGCTTAACGCGAATTATGTTAAAAATAAAACCGTTGGAATTTGATAGGAAAATACAGTGTTGGACAAAGGGAGCGGGGTGAGACTTTTTGCACGTCTCGACCATTGATGAACCTGCTCTGATTTAGATTCGGAATTGCGATTCGGACACTACATAAATTATGCAAACTTTGTCGTGTGCCAAAAAAAAGTAATGTCCGAAAATTAACATTTAAATCGTAGCGAAAAATAACCCGGTAGCACACGTCATAAAACTGTCCCGACTGAAATTTTCGAGGATGATTTATAGAAACAGTAGCATTGGGTGCATACATGGTGTGGAATTACTAATGTGAATACGATCTTCAATTGTAGATCATCCGGTTGAACTAACTGAGTAGTACTAAAATAAATAACAAACAAAACACATTGTTCCATGTTCTATATTTCGATTCCTTTTTATAACTTGCTTTGTGCAAAGCATTAATAAAATTTCAAGGCAAACCTAGATTTTGAAGAACTGTAAAAAAAAATTAATAACTTGTACTTGAATTAAAATAAATGTAAAAATCAGAAAACTGCTTAATTATTAAGATTACAACATTTTTGTTATAAAAAAGCTTTGCAAATTGTCCATTAAAACAGAAAACTAATGTTATTGTTTCCCAAAACCCGAAGTTTTTTATTTGAAAAGAGGCTTTGGTTAAAGGCTTTCCGCCGTAATGCAACCATTTGTTGCAAATCTTTACAAATCTAGCTTAACTATAAACTTGCACAACACAAATCCTCGAGTAAATCCCCTGAACAAGGGAAATATTAAAAAAAAGATATTCCCGTAAGCCTTGAAACCCTTTCGAACTTGCAGCAAACAGAGACATTTTGCCACACCCGGCATTAGATTTCCACTTAGCGCTCGTTCCGGCCTAGAAATGCAGCCGCAAAAACAAAAACTATGAATGGCAGTTTAAGCCAAATTACACAAAGGCCAAGAGCAACAACAACCGAACGGAAGCCATATGCAGAAAAGTCGGCAGCGGTAAGAGCAGCGCATTAAGTTGGACCCGCCCCGTGGTAAGCAGCCATTTCACTCACTCGCAGGCAGATATGCCATATCTCTGGGGTAGATAAAATCCACAAGGCAGGGGTGAAAAAGATGGCTATAGCGAGTGCGGAGAGTGGTAGTATGCTGTTTCCCTTTCCGACCCGTTTAACTGGTTTGGCCTGCGCGAGAGAGGGAGACTTTCCAAAGGCAAAGGCAACGGCAGCCGCTCCGCTCTCATCGACATTCGAGCAGCGCACACTTGGTGGTGCCGCCGCGCTCTCCGGATTTATTCAGACATCGAACGTCGTCGAGAGCACACGTCTATATCCGCCGTCTTCCGACCGAAACGAGCGCGTCGATCGCTATTGAGTTAAAGTCCCCAGACCACGAGTGCGTGTGTGATTTTCAATTTATAAAAATACATATTAAAGCGTTTCCAATGCTTCGCTTAGTGTGACAAATATTTAAAAAAAAAATACAAAACAGTTGATAGGCAAAAAGAACTTCCCAGAGGATTACAAACGCACCGCTTTCTGAACCCAAAAAGCCGCCAACATAGCCGAACTAACCGCCGTATTTATGACTAAGATGATTCCGCCGGTTCCCACCGCCGCCGCAGCCGTCATGATGCCCACGCCCAAGCAGAAGATCGGATTCAGCATCGAGTCCATTGTGGGCAACGATGTCAGAACTGCCGCCGGCAATTCGACACCGGAGCTATCGTCCGGCCCCCAGAGTCCGCCGTCCGGCGAGCGGAATGTGCCCGGTTCGCCGCCACAAACGCCGCCCGCAACTTTGACTTTGATACCCGGCTCGCCTCCGCACCACCTGATGGCTCCTCCTGCCCACGGATTGCCCTATCCGCATCCACAGCAGCAGCAGCACCAGCATATGCCACCTCAGCCACATCCGCATCCGCATCTATCGCCCGCCCAGCAGCACGTTCTGCACCAGCACCTACTCATGCAACAACAACAACAACAACAGCAACACCAGCAGCATCAGCATCCTGGCACCCCCAAGAACCACCAGGACATCCAGGAGCTGCTGCAGCGACTGCATCACAACGCCGCCATGGCCAGCGGATTGAGTCCGCTGCAGACACGCCTCTCCCCCGAAGCGGAGCAGCCTCAAAAGCCGATCTCCATCAAGCGCGAACGCTCACCTGCACCACCTGCTCTGGAGCAGGCGGAGAATCCCGCCCAGCGCATCCAGCCACCGCACACTCCTCCGAAGTCCGTGAGCCCTCAATCTTCGCAGCCGTCTTCGTCACCCACTCTGCTCATCAGCAGCCCGCATGCCACGCCCCCGCAGCAGCATCAGCAGCAGCCGCCCAACTATCCAAAGCCTGCCATGATGCATCCCGGAGGAGCGGGTCCCGGCATGATGATGCCGGGCATGCCACCGGCCGGCCTTGTTCGACCCTTTCCCATGGGACCCGGCGGACCGCCAATGGCGCCGGGACAACCGGGCATGCCGGACATCAAGGCCCTGCCGCCGTACATCAACGCTCCGCCGGAGATGCAGCCGCAGCACAATCCGCATCTCATTGCCGCCGCCCAGTTCCAAATGGCCGCCGCCCTGCAGGCCGGTCATGTGTTAGGTCCTGCGGCTGCGGCCGCTGCTGCCGCCGGCCTGCCGCCCCACGCCGCCCAGTTTATGCCCAATCCGGGCATGGCCAGGGATAGCTATCAGCTGTACCCCTGGCTGCTCAGTCGCCACGGAAGGATCTTTCCACACCGATTCCCTGGAAGTAAGTATCTTAGATGTTAGATATTAGAATAAGGTTTTTCAAGCAGGGGAAAAAGGGAGGGTACAGGCAAATATTTCCCAACCAATAAAATATACTAAGAATCAGCTTCTATTGAATTCAATTTTAATATTTTATGATTATAAATCTCAAAGCACTATAAATTTTAATAAAAGATAGACCTTAATTATTTAGTATGCGATTATCTTAAATGCTTAAGATATTGGTTGAAATAACTTGTCTATAAAAAAGAGGTTCTGATATTAAAATCAGTGAGAATCAAATACAATATCTTATTAATATATCTTGCAGTGAATTCCTAACTGGAGCTACTATTCTCTGTATAATCTTAATCTTAATTCTTAATCTTAAAGAATCGATGACTAACCAGAATCCTTTCTTTTCTGCTCTTTTTCAAGGTTTTCTGGTGCCCCCGTTCCGCAAACCCAAGCGCATTCGCACCGCCTTCTCCCCCTCGCAGCTGCTGAAGCTGGAGCACGCCTTCGAGAGCAACCAGTACGTGGTGGGGGCGGAACGCAAGGCCCTGGCCCAGACCCTCAATCTCTCCGAGACGCAGGTGAAGGTGTGGTTCCAGAACCGCCGCACCAAGCACAAGCGGATGCAGCAGGAGGACGAAAAGGGCGATGGCCAGGGATCGCAGAGGAATATGCACAACGGCAGTGGCGATGAGGACGACGACGAGCTGATCGACATGGAGATGGACGAGTGTCCCAGCGATGAGGAGCACGAGCTGGACGCCAGCCATTGAATACAAAATCCAGGAGATAATCCTGCGGCGGTCCGTGAGTTCCTTACCCTGGCGATGGGGTCCAGTTCCAGTTTCGAGGGTTCCCAGTCGAACCATCGCGAAAGTAACATAGTTTGTTTTGTTGTGATATATTCTTAGAGCGTTCTTAAGGCATTTAGGCTAGCTGTACATAACATAGGAAAGTATTAGACACCCATTTCCATATCCATCTCCCTCTCTTAAGATCCGTGCCAAATCCTTGCGAAGAAACGAGGTTGAGTAGAGCTCAAAGAAAGCTAGTTGTTTCCTCTATTTTTCCAAAATATCTGAAAACAAAAACACTTAAAAAAGAACCTTAGGCTAGAAACCATATATAACTGTACAAATCTAATGGATTAAGCGTGTAAATATTCATGACAAGCATTACTTTTAATTAGTGAATTTCTCCAGAACAAATCGTACTCAAAGCCACTACCTATTGTATAATTCTTGTATATTGTATGACGATCTAGCATTTATTTATGTTTAGTCTTAAGCACGAACCTCTACAGTCGCTCAACTGCAGCTGGATATAATTTAAACCCGTTTAATATATAGCCTTAGTTGCTAGTAACTACTTCCTAAGCCAAGACAACATGATTGTAAGAAATACACAAAAATATTATCATATAAAATATAAAATATTCATTATGAAAAGAAATCTAAAAAAATGTTTGTTGGATTTATTTTGGGAACACAGTTGGGAGTACCTTTATCTTTACAGGATCGACTTATTTAAAACTCGATTTGATATTTAATATTTAGGGAATGAATTTTATTATTAGTTTATAATTAATAAGATGTTTATGGTCAATGTTAAATCTTACAACTAACAATATTTTTAAATCTTTACTTAATATTATATATAGTTTAAGAGCAATTCAACCGTTGAACAAATGTTATAGTTATGGAAGGTACCTTCTTCAGTTAAAATTTCTTGAAATAGCATATTACTTTAGCTTGTTTTTGTTGTTGCATCTCCGCCCCTTTTTAATTAAGTTCGTCCCACTGTGTGACAGAGTTGAAAATTATGCGCTATCAATTAATTAGCGTGTGACATTTAACATTGTTGTTGCTGTTTCTGTCCACTCGAATGGTGACAGGTGCGCCAGAGGAGGAAGTGAGAGGGGGCTAAAGCGAGAGAGGGATATACGGAGGAAGGAGGCAACTATAAAATGCATTTAGCGATCGTTATTTCTTATAGATTTCATAAGCATTTTAATTGCACAATTTAAAATGCAAATCGTGTTTTATTGTAGAATTTAATTGAGCGCAGTTCGTGCGAGATCAAAGGGGCAGAGGTGGCTGGTTTAGGGGGGTAGAGTGGTATTGGGGTGGCAAAGAGCCCCCTATGAAAACTGGTTAACGGGCCACTTGAGGTGTGCTAATGATTTAAAAGCCAAATTTATGATTATTGGGTCACAAATTTATGCGACATTTGTGGAGAGACAGGTGAGAAGGGGGCTTTTATCGTTATCGCCAAATCGGTAAATTGGCTATCAGCTAACAGCTATCGGCTATCGAATGGGGCCTAATGAATATGCAGTGGTTAACTGCAGTGGGCAAACTGCAAGGCAACCGGCCCGATTGGACTAGATGATATGGCTAATTAACGGACATAACGAGTCTAATTACTAGCTGTTAACAGCACTAAATTGTGGCACTCTGTCAAAGGTCCCTCTCCATAAAACCAGGGGGCTAGTGGGGGCCAGTGCAATCACAAAGTTTACAATTGCAAAAGGCATAAATCAGAGCAGGCAAATTATATGTTTTCCATTGGCAATCGGAATCGCGGGCATACCTATAAAGCAGCGGCTAATGGCAAGTCTTGTTTGTTTAGCGGGCACGCACATTTGATAGAAACTTCGAGATTCGAGATATCGAGGGGCAACTGTAATTAATAATGGGGCTGGGGCACGCCCCTTGCATATTGGATTGGGGCTTATCTGCTGGCCTGCTTTTCAATAACACTCTTCAAATGTTTCTGTAGAACGAGACACACTGCGAACACCGAAGGGACCGAAAACGAAACGTAACGAAATCCAAAATCGGAATGAAATCCCTTGCTGATAATTCTCGGAAATTAAAACACAATTTGGTAAGTTGTTGCTGTTGATGATGTTATACATATATCAGACATACATATGTTTGTACAACTTGTTTTGCCTCGTGGCTGGCTTCGTTTTTCTTTTTATTTTTATTTTTTTTTTTTGTTGTGTGTTGATTTGGTTTTCTGAATGCCTCAAAAGGTTTGTTATGCGGCGCGCCCCAAAAAAAGAGATATAGAAATAATAATAACGCATTCACTCTATGGCCAGCACTACGCACAACTTGCTGCCCGTTGTTATTGTTATTTATTCCATAAAGTTTATTAAGTAATCCAATTTGGTTAAATTAGCTGTGTCTCGTCTTGAAGTTATTTCGGATTTTAATTGAGTTTTGGTTTCTCTTTGCAAGTATTGTACACCCCCACCTCCCGAGCTCATTATTGTCTGTTGAATTTCACCGATCGCTGATCGATGGCCGGCATAATGCAAATTGTCAAGCCAAGATCGCAAGATCAAGGGCCCTTGCTCCTAGCCCCTAGCCCCTTAATGACCATCCTCAAGGGCCGGGTTCAAGATCGGGACGTGCCACAACTCTCTGTTCTGTTTAATGTGTGTTTCCTGGAAGATTAATACGGCGAAATTAAGGAAAATAAATAAATGTCAGCGCTGTACAAGATCGTTATCGCATTTAACAATAATTACCCTGATATGGGATATGCTAACTAATCTGTTAAGCCCGCTGAATCCGACCCAGGATCGTTCAGAGATGCGGCGTTGGCCAACAGGTTTTTGGGCCCGAGACGAGTGTTTAGTGCTTTCCGTTGTCGCCCGGGACAGACATCATCGAAGGTGTCGCCGGCCGCTTGTTGTGTTAAATTAAGTAATTAATTTTAAAGTCCATGTTCGGTCCGTTTGTCTAACGAAAGACTTAGACGACGAACTTCGTACGGCCGCCGCCACGCTTGTTAACCCCACTTCCGTCATCATCATCTCGGGCCGGCACCCAAATGATTTCGATCACCTCGGCTTCAATTGCTTGTAATTTACTGGGGGGATTGTTCTCGTTTCGGCGGGCACTTCCTGCGGCTCGGCTAGATTGGCATCACTTTTCCAAGCCCTCGACATTTGTTTGTCGTAATAATAATTCGTAAGCGTTTTAATTGAATGATCCGTCGGTGGGCGTCTCCCGCTCCTTAGCTATATAAGTACCCTCCAGATCCGCTGTGTCATTGCCAACTGCTCGACTTGTCCCCGGGTAAACTGAATAAACATTTGACTCGACTTTAGGCCCTCAAGTGCTTAATTAAGAGCCGCAACAACGTCTCGTTTTGGCCTTTATTTATTTAACAATTTCGCTGCGGCTATAGCCCAATATTTTGATGTTTTCTAATTGCCTCAATTATGTTTTGGCTCCCCGAGTGTTTGGACTGTTAGATCGCCGGCCTCATCACGAATTTCTGGCGCCAGACGCCGTCTCTTTCATATGCAAAGTGCTCCTCCACCGATCAAATATCGAATGCTTTAATTTGGTATATCAAAGAGAGACATTATGCTGCTGCCTGCCATTCTCCGATCCCCGGCTCGTAAAAGCGTCAAATTTCTCAATTCTCAATTCTCAGTTGCCCATTACCAATTCCCGATTTCGTGGCCAGCTCCATGGGGCGTCCTAATTGTTGATATGCATCTCGGTTTCTCTGCCGCTCAGTCGTTCAGTCACTCAGTTATTGGGTCTGTCGAGAGACTCTTAATATTATTTGGTGAGTTTTATGTTTTATTTCGAATTAGTCACATAAATATGCACTCTTTATGACAACCTGATGTTTGTTGTTACTGTTTTATGCTCGCTGAGCTGGAGCGCCCACGCTGCGTATGATTGTTGGCATTTCACTGGGCAGGTACAGTGGTTTGAGGAGGTTAAAAAATTTTCGAAACCTAAAAGACTATAAATTTTTTAAATCCATTAAAATGAAATGCATCTAAGAAATTTATAAAATTAAAAACAAATACTATTGAATACTTATCTATAATTACAATTTTGCTAACTTTTCCGGTTTTTATGCAATTGAAAAGTTTCAACCTTCTTTTTTCACTTCTAAGATATTCCTACAAAGATTGTTGATATTGAAAAAATTCTTTTTCTGTTTTACCCACTGTGCATCGTTTGGCTCTCGAAATAAATGCCATTCCATACTGCCCGCAGTGCAATGCATTATTCAAACGCTGGAGAAAATCCCGCCTTGGACATTTAGCTGGTTAAACAATCAATTAGTGACGACCGCAACTGAATCGCTGATGCCGTTATTGAATTATACGCGGGGCGAAGCTATCGGAGGGCCATATAGGACCCATGGACCTGCTCCTCCTCCAAAATATATGCCCGCCCTGAGACGGACCAACAAATGCTCGGATTGCGTGTTGGTCAAGGTAATTATGGGTTTGCCATTTGGTGGGGCCTGCATATGGGCTGCACTTCTACACCCTGTGGCTCAATGTAAGGTGTATGCACTCATGGGTGTGTAGTATAGTGTATAGACTATAGTGTCTAGTGGCCGGTGGTCCGGGCCAATGAGGCGTCATCTAATATATTGCAATTACAAGCGGCAATTAGTCAATTTGCCAGACTCGAACACGAAACGCTTTTCATATAATTAAAAGCCAATTAGAATATTTATTATGAAAATTGCTCAGCAAATGTGCATAATTGAAGCGATGTGAATTCGTTTAAATAACAGGCCGCTCGACCGATTTCCATGTAGTTGGCAGCCATGAGAACCTCCCACTGTCCGATGCCCCCATCCAGCTAGTGGTTTTCTATAATTGAATCAGGTACTTCCTGTGAAACAATTACGGACACGGGAAACTTATTACAGGTTTAGCGTAGATGATTAAGTGCGGTAATCCTATTAGCTTTTTAAGGTAAACAGGAACATTAAAACGCCCTAAGCTTAGGGTGAAAATTGTTATTTTTAATAACCATATTTAAAGAGTAGTTAGTTTAATAAACTCATACAAAACATACAATGTAAACCTATTTTTAAAGATTTTATTCATTAACTAAGAAAAAAGGGAAACAATCTGAAATATATACGTTTTCTGGCATTTATATTATCTAACTACTCATTATCTACTTACATACTAGCAATTTTGATTTATAGCTTAACTTATCCCTATACAAATTGTTAAATTGCATTCTAGAATTAATCGCACTTTCGCCAAATAATTCTTGCCTCTTTGCAGTTAATATCGCACCTGTGCTAAAGAGACTTTTATGTATAAACAGCTAATTCGTCACTCAGTTGGCTACTGGCAACGAATCCACACCCACTCTTTGGAGTCCCATCTATTCACACTTGGGGTTAGGTCAGGCCTGTCGAGTGCCCAAGTATTAATGGATTAGCATTTGTCACACACACGCAAACGGACGATGAAAATATTGAAAAATTATGCAGCCAAGGCAATCAAACAATTAAATATAAATTTGTGGTATTCACGCCCCGAACCGAGGAAAGAAGCAGAACGAACCCACAAAGAGTATTGGACAAAACAAATGAGTGCGTCCG